TGATGAGGGGCATTTGTGTTAGGCACCCGTACAATGTTGAGTGTGGTTGTGTGTGTGATGGTGAGTGGTACTTGTGCCATGTACTGTGACCATGTTGAGTGTGAGTGTACTTGATGATTTCACTGTGGTGTTATTGACTTGACATATATATTTGACATGCAGGCATAGAGATGTATTTTCCTCATGCTAGATGATAAATGAAATGTCTTATCTGTTGTTGAAAGTTTGGAAAATCAAAGTTTCCTTGATAAACTCATATTTTTAAAAATCTCTGTAAAAGATTAGGCTTTGATTGTTATACTTGGAAAGCATGTCTAATTTTATGTAGTTGTGAACGAGCTGGTCATGATATCTTTTGAGTTATTTATCTTTACTGCCTTCATTATTTTATGAGTTGTTATTGATTATTGGTGTTGGACCTTGACTTAACTCCGAGCTTGTTACTGCTTTCAACGCGATGTTACGTTTGTTACTTATTGAGTACATATGGTCGATTGTACTCATACTACACTTGTATTTCATGCGCAGATCCAGGTACTTCCTGGCGCAGTGATTGTAGAGTTCGCAATGGTACCAGCTTGTGGAGACTATTAGGTAGATGCTATGTCGTTTGCAGACCTTGAAGTTTGCTTCCTTTTATTTTTTATTTCACTGTTCTATTGTTCTGACAGTTTATATTGAGGATTTGGCCATGTATTTGGAATATTTGTAGTGCTCATGTACTCGTTGATACCAGATCATTGGGATGGTTGTGGTAGTGTTATGTTATTTTTCTCATATATTTCATGATATTTTCGCTGTTAAGATTATTAAATTCTATTTACTGAGTTTATTAATTTTGTGAAACTGTTGGCTTGCCTAGCAAGCAGTGTTAGGCGCCGTCACATGATATACCACTGTTAACTGAAGTGCATGAAAAACAACAAAGAAAATTGCCTTGTCAGGAGGAAAACCATAAACTTTCTCATGTAATATCTCAAACATTAGATGCGTTATGAACTTCCATCTAAGAATTCGAGGAGAGTTATTCCTACAACAAATAGCAATGCTATTATGCACATAGCCACAATATTATTATAACCATATTTGAAGAGCCATAGGAAACCCAGAAATTTGATAATACGTAGCCCGCCTATTCAAAATGGCATACATTAATTCTAAGGTAGCAGGTATATTTCTCTCCTCCACGGATAACTGTGAAAATCATCTCCCTCAAGCCCGTCAAAATAACCCATATCAAGCTATTCTGTATTCTTAATAGAAAAAGAGGAAGCAGTTTATCACATAGAGCACTGGCACATTCATATCATCTTTGTCATACTCAAGTGTTTTATTAAGAAAATAATGCGTAAGATATTTCTTAGCAAGAGAAGGGTAATCCGCAAAATATTTTCAATCAAATGATTCTTCTTTGCCTTAGGATAAGTAGGACGCTTTACATCGCCAGTACATTTTAATTTAGTCACACAAGAAAACTCAAATAAACCGAAACGCAGCTTAACTCCACGACAAGAAACTACATTTCAGCTTCAGTTTTTTTTAACCTCCATTATCTATAAAGAATATATAAACTGAGACTACAATTCTATTCTAGGCAAATCTAGCAAATATCAAAGTAAGTTGACCTCAAAAGCTCATCTTGTGTTGCTGGTAATTCTTTTTTCAACTTACCAATAATATTAAAATTAAAATAAATGCCAAGTTTCGGCTTACCATTGTATTACTTTACATATATGATTATATCACATGATATCTATTAGAATAGATTTATCAGTATATGACTATCTTCTACGTTCCAATAAGCTAAGTAGATATGTCTATATAAGAGGAACTAGCTCTTATAAAGTAAATATTAACATACATAAAAACTTTGAATACATGAAAAAATTACCTTTGAAGCAGATTTGACATATTTCTTTTAACAAATACCAGATTCAAAGACCTTTCTCTTTTTTTAGACGCCGAATCAGTTTGAGAACCATCAATTTCTTGTTCCTTAGCATTTTGAGTACGCATTCTTCTCAAACAACAAGTAAAATCTATTTGATTTAGAAGAACCATTTGTTGAATAAGATTATCCATTTGTATGGCAACTTAGAGCCTCTCTCATATATGAATCACCCGTTCTTGCCTTTTTTCTGAAAAGTAATTTTCGTCATCCATAGCAATAGTAGAATCCTATAATGATAGAATTAAATGAAACGGCTGTTCGCGCTTAAGACTATACTTTTTATCTATAAAATTTTATCATTTTTTCAAATTAAAGCTTAATAATATGCTTTACATTTCAAAACTTTAGAGGATGAGGAAAGAAAATGCAAAACATGAAGATTTAAAAGGAAAAATTCCCACAATGCTCTATTATAGAAGTTCGCTCAAAATTGGAAACTCACGCGCGCGTGGGAAAGAAGGCACTGACACAACGCGGGAAAGGTAGGGCAAGCGGATAATAAAATATTAAATTGGGGCAGAACATGTCATTTCTAAAAAGAGAAAGCATTTCAGCGTTTATGTTTTTAAATGGGCTTCTAAGGCCTCATTTGTTTTTATTAAGATTAAAACGTCTGAATTTGAATATACATCTGAATATTAATATGTGTATTAAGATTAAAACATCTGAATCTGAATACACATTTGAATATCAAGATGTTGTATTAAGATCTGAATACTGAATAATTAAGACTATTTATTTTATCTACATCTGGATATGTGAATGTTGTCTTTATTTAAAAATTAATAAGTATAAATTCAAATCAAATAATACTAATTAATTTAATACTATATTAAATATTGTTTAAAATTCTATGATGGTTGGCAGTGATGATGACTAATAATGGTGGTTATGGGTGCCTACAGGGTAGTAGCTGATGTTGGTTGATAATGGTGATTATGGGTAATATATTGTGGATGGCAGTAGTAGTTACAGTGGTGTTTGATGGTGATGATGACTGATAACAGTGGTTGATGATATATAGTGGTGGTTGATAGTGGTGATTGGTGATTGTTGTGGTAATGGTGGTTGGTGGTGATGGTTGTAAATGATTGCTAGTGGTAGTGATAACTGACATTCATGCTTAACAACGTCAGTAGTTGTGGCTGAGGACGGTGGTAATGGATGGTGGATAGTGGGTGGTGGTAGTCTATAATAGTAAAGGACATCGATAGTAGTGTTGAGGGTGAAAGTATAAGTAATAGTGAAATATCAATTATAGAAGAATTCTTGAATTTATAACATCTTAATGATATTAAGACTCTATTATAGATCTTAATCATTAAGTTCTATTCAGACCCATCAAGTGGTTGTAAAATTTAAAAATTAGCAATCTTAATGGTTATGATATGAATGATTAAAATTCAAATCTAAAAAACAAGCGATGACTGAGATGTGAATAATTAAGATTCAGACTTCCATTAAGTACAAACAAATGAGACCCGAGGCCTTTTTTTTAAAGATTAAGACGCCTGAATCTGAATACACATTTGAATATCAAAATGTGTATTAAGATTAAGACATCTGAATCATAAATAAACATCTGAATATTAAGATGTGCATTAAGAACTGAATACTATTGATTAAGACTGTTGATTTTTAACATCTGAATGTATAAAATTTATCTTTTTAAAAATTAATAAGCATAAAATTCAAATGAAATACTAATTAATCTAATATTCTATCAATAAAATATATTATTTTTAAAAATATGATAGCTGTTGGTGGTGATGACTAACGGGTGAATGCCGATTAGAGGCGGTGGTTGCTTGTAGTTTTGGTTGGTGGTAGTGGTTCAGGGTAGTATCTAGTGGTGATTGGTAGTGGTGGCGATTATGATTGGGGAAGGTGGTGGTGGGTGGTGCTAGTTAATAATGGCGGGTGGTGGTGGTAGTTATGATTGAGGAAGGTGGTGGTGGGTGTTGGTAGGTTATAATGATGAGCAGTGCCGGCTATGGTTGTTGATGGTGATGGGGTAGTTAGTTGTGGTAGTTGAGGCGGATGAGTGTTGATTGTGGCTGAGAATGATGGTGCTGGGAGTGGTGGAGATGTTGGGTGATGATAGTCAATAATGGTGGCGGCTATGATTGAGGATGATGATAGTGTGCTGGTGATGGTGGTTGAGTATGGTGGGGGTGCTGGCATGGTGGTAGTTGATAATGGTAGGCGGTGGCGGCATTTAATTTAATAATGAATATGGATGATAACATCTTAATGAAATTAAGTCTCTATTATAGATCTTAATCATACAAACCTATTCATATCTATTAAGTGGCTGTGAAGTAAAAATAAACACACTTAATGATTAAGATTTGAATAATTAAGATTCAGACTTTAAAAACAAACTTAATGTCCGAGATCTGAATTATTAAGATTCAGACCTCCATTAAGTGCAAACAAATGAGACCTAAGTGTAATTTTTTCATAATGAAAATATCAAATGACAAAGTATAGTTACACTCAGGGGCGGACCTAGAGCATAGAATACGGGTCCCGGGAACCCAGTAACTTTTGCGTAGACCCTATATTTATATTAAGAAATTCACTAAATATTTGTAAATATATAATGTGAACCCAGTTATTATTGCATATTAATATAAAATTACGGTAGGAACCCATAAGACTCGAATCCTTAATCCGGCTCTGGTTACACTGTTAAGCTTCAAGGACCAAATTTGCAATTCACACATTAAAGAAATAACCCAACAAGCAAATAAAACAAACAAATAATAAAAGTTGTCTGCTTAATAAAATCTCGTCATAATTATAACAGCTCCCTCTACGCTGTAGTATTCTCGCGAAAAAGAAAAATAAAATAAAAGAAGAAAAAATCATGATACTAATAAAATAATAAAAGTAGTATAAATAAAAAGAAAAAATAATGTACGTAGCAAGTAGGCGGAAATTCTGAGTTAACTTCGTTTCGGGCAAGAATCCAAAAGAAAACAAAGAAGACGACAGAAAAGGCCGAAAGACAGATAAACCCCGCGTGCTTCGCCCCCCCCCCCCCGGACCCCCCACCAAACCACCATCCAAGTCTTCGTCTTCTCTTCTTCTACTTTTCGTGTATCTATTTACCTATTCCCCCATTTTTATCAGCTTTACTTTCCCCTACTTCGATGTATTCAATAGGGAACCGAGGTACTTTTTGTTTTCTAATATTTTATTAACTTATTATATATGGGTATTGGGGTTTTGTTTCATTTTTGTTATTTTCTTGAAATTATAGGGAATAGGGTTGTAAATATACATGGGTGAAAATTGTATGGATTATGTTGTTCTTATTACACCATTTTCTGATAGATATTTTTTGTAGTGAAGAAGATAAGTGTTGAAGGTTGAGGGAGGATAAAGAGAGTGAGAGAGATATGGAAAATGGAGGAGACAGTTTGGTGCCTAAACTTGTGGGATTGAATTTGAATGATTCAAATAATGTTCCAAAGAACAATGACGGGTTGTTTCAGGTTTTGAAAGCAGTTGAAGCTGCTGAAGCCACCATTAAGCAACAGGTTTGCTACTCCTTCCCCCACCTGAATGTGGGTTTTAATTATTCTGATGATGAGTCTGTTTGGAACGTTCTAATTTTAGTTTTTGATTTCTAGATTGTTTGATGGTTATGATCTTTTAAGCTGCCTGCATTTGGCTAAGTAATATTAGATATTAAATTGTCGATGGGGGAGTCTCTAATATCCTTTTGAGGTTTCAAAGAGTTAAAAAATTCTAGCAAGTTGGCACTTTTCTTGGAGCTTATCCAAGGGTTAAATTCTAGCAAGTTGAAATTTTTGTTCTTGCTTATGTGTATTCTCTTCTCTCTATTGTATTCAATGCAAGTGTAAATTTCCATAGTTATGGACTTATGGTAGCAGGTGTAATCTTTAAAAGCGCTATCTTGTGTATCTCATATAGAAGCTACATAAGCTGCAAATGGACTTCAATCATACCAGTGGGATTTTGAAAGACAATGTTGATTGCGGCATTAAGTCTCTTAGTTTCATATGTTAGATAAAGCTGTTGTCCTAGAACGTCCTAGAACTATATCTTTGTCCTGTCCATGATGGATAACTCTAGTCCTTTTCGAACAAACCTATGCCATGTTTTGCAAACTGAATTGCAAAAAGGTAGTCTAGAGATAGATAAATGATACATCAGTCACTGTCCTGTCCAACAGTCTCTAGTGCATATAGTCTAATGCATGTAGTGTGAAATATTCCATGGTTCTGGTGAGTTGTACCTTGTTGTGGTTGTAATGCTACTATATCTGGGTGCTGATCCTGTTCAGGGTAGGTCTCTTAGTATATTTTTCTTTTGCTTACAGTTTATAGTAACGGATCCTCCCCCAAAAAACATCAGAGTGTATATCAATCAAAAAGTTCCATATTGAAGGGTGTCTAATTATGTGAAAAAAGGGTTGTATACTTGTCTGAAAAGAGTTTATGGGTTTTGAAGTTTTCTTAAAACAGTACTTGGGTTGTTATGTAATGGAGAAAGGAAGGATCTTTGTGTTGTTTCCTACCATGTTGCATGATAGTTTTATTTATTTACTTATCTTTTGGTTAATGGAGCATTCAGTATTGGAATGAAATTGGTCCAAAAGGAGTGAAATGGATTGAGTGGATTTATATAGTCAACCCCAACTAGCTTGGGATTGAGACGTAATTATTGTTGTATCTTTTGGTTCATCAGGAGCTTGAATATTTACAGAGTTTACCTTAGAGGGACATACATGTTTGGTTCTTCTGATGTATCATTAAAGAACTGACTTCAATGTAGTTCTAGCTCATTAGAATTTAGAGGCCATATAGGTAAACTCTCTCTTTGTAAAGGTGGTCAAGTGGTTTCAAGCCTAAGGCGAGGTCACGTGTTCTAATCCCCATTAGGGGCTGGTACTTAATAGTTAAATTTTGGTGCTTTGACAGGCAAGTCGATGGAATTGGTGGATACCCTAAAAAGAATGAGAGTTGGTATTACATGCCTAGAGGAAACTAAATAGCCAGGGCAAAAGGCTAGAGAGATAGGTAAGACGGGTTATTAATTATGGTATTATGAGAGAGAAGAATAGGAATGGGGTGGGAATTCTTGATCTTTGACTGTAGATTGTAACAACAACAGCCTTTTTATAGAGCTTATAAGGAACTCGAAACTCTGAAGTGAAATTACATGATCACAAACAAAAAATCACGGGTTTATCCATACTAAAAACTGTCCATTTAAAAGGCCTATAAGGAATTTAAAGTTAAAATTTTAAACAAATTCAAAAGATTTTCCTTTATAACAAGCAGAAAAATCAAAGATCTTTCTTATCAAAGGTCTTCCTTGCCGCAAGTGAATCCATAACAACATACTTTATCAAATAGCAACAACAACACCCCCAGTGTAATCCCACAAGTGGGGTCTGGGGAGGGTAGTGTGTACGCAGACCTTACCCCTACCTTCAAGAAGGCAGAGAGGTTGTCTCCGGTAGACCCTCGGCTAAGGAAAAGTAAAAGGAAGGGCAGGAACAAGCACACCAATTGGAAAACTGAAGCAAAAATACAAAACTAAAACTAAGTGCTGCGATCAGAAAGCCGAAACGAAAGCAACAACAAGTAATCATAGAATTCAAGGAATACGAAAATACACAAATAACACTAACTCATGTACTAAAGCTACTGTTATTGACCATGCTTTACGGGGAGCACAATTCACATGGTCAAGAGGGGAGGATCAAGCCGGTATAATTGAAAGGTTTTTTTATCTCTACTGAGTGGAGTGAAGTGTTTAAGGATGTGAAGCAAATTGCAATGGCCAGGGTATTCTCAGATTATAAGCCAGGGTATTCTCAGATTATACTTTATCAAATAGCATAATAATAAAAAGGGATAAGGGAGTGGTTGTAATTTTTTTTGTAAATAAGAGTGGTTGTAATTACAAAGGGGAAAAGTGAAAGGTTTAATAACGTTGTTGGAAAACATTGCATTCATTTTTATTTTGTATGGATCTTTTTAGCTGGCATCTAGCTTATTATCCCTGATATAGCATTTAGATTAAAACATCTGTCTGTACAATATTATTGAGTGAAATGTCTTTGATCTACTATAGAAATAAGTTTTTGATTTTACTGAAAACACGGTTTTTTGGACATGTAATCTCTAGAGTTGGGACTTTAAGTACTGCTTAGAGATAAATGATTTCATGACTAGGTAAAACAATTCTGAAGTTTAACTTCATAAAAAATATAAAACATAAAATTTTGGAGAGGCATCCAATGGTTTAACCTAATAGTCAATGAAGTGGGTGGAGAACTATGAGGTCTCAGGTTCAAATACCAGTGGAGAGAAAAATACTAGGTTATTTCTTCCAATCTGTCTAGGCCTTGGTGAAGGGGAGCCTTGGCGTAACTGTCCAGGCCTTGGTAGACAAAGTCACCTTAGGGGTGTCAATGGTACGGTTTGAGCAGTTATTTTTAAAAAATTATATCATACCATTTTTTTGGTTACTCTATTATGCATAACCAAAATTAGACTTCTCAAAACCGTACCAATCATATATGTTTCTCTTCGTATCGGTACTTTTTTATAATGTCATCTAAGAGTTGTACGAATATCTAATTCATTATATTATATAAAATAATAATAAGCTTTAATATAACGCATGAAGTATATATATCCCTACAAAATATGGAGAATTCCGTATAGACTGTGCCACTAAACTCAAAGTAAAGATTTTTTATACTAGAAGCAGTTTGCTATCATATGTTCTTTGGCAATTTGCTAAAGTTTTTGCAAAGACAACAATGATACTATCCTTACAAATAGTTACACGTGAGCATATGACCAAACATGCTAGTGAAACTAGAACTTACCAAGCATCATTCCTTTTCCCTTTCGAACTTCAATCCAATTATCATTAATAAAGCTAAGAAGTAATATAACAAGTACATTGCAAATTCAAGCATATAAATTTTATGGGGAAATTTTTTAGCAAATTGTAATAATTGATTATGACCAAACTATTGAATGTCCGTCTTTATTAAGATGAATCAATGAAATAGTTCACAATCAATAGAAAAGAATCTGAACAATGGAGGAGAAATAGAAAGAAGATACCTTCGCTTTTTGCCGGCAATTGCCATTGGGAGAAGCTTAAATAATGTATAATACCTTTGTTTTAATAGTTGTAGGGTAGGTTGGGTATCTTATAGTTGTTCCATCTGAATCCACCCGAAGGCCCACGGTTCAAATCTAAAATATTAATGAACTTAACATATAAAGTATGTTTTATACATATAAATTTATTCGGTACGGTTCAGTATTTTTTCGCTATTCTTTATAATATAAAAAAACCTATTCTAATTTCGGTACAATTATAAATTTATGGTACCTACACTTTTACTCAAAAAACCTAATAATCGGTACGGTTAGGTTCGGTTCGGTCAGTTTTTTGAATGGTTTTGACACCCCTGCTGGTACTTATGCTGGTGGGAGGTAGCAGGTACTCTATGGAATTAGTCGAGGTGCACGCAAGCTGGCCCAAGCACCACCGTTATAAAAATAAAATCTGGAGTTAATTAGCCATTTGTTTATTGAAAGTTCTAAAGATTATTTTGAAAAATCTTTTTGAATAGATGCCGTTGGGAAAAAGCTTTTCAATTATTGCAAAAACTTAAAAACACCTCTAGAGTAGTTTCTCACTTTTAGCAAAAGTAAAAAACTTTTCTCCGGCCGTGCTTGGTTAGAAAAAACTTTTGAAAAGTTTTTCCAATTTTCAAAAATTGGAAAAATTCCAGAAATCTTTCATCAGGAGGAGGAGAAGAGGACGAATAGGGAGTGGTATAAGAAGGCCAAGAAGGAGGCGAAGTTAGAGATTATGGCGGCTAAGATTGTTTGGACGTTGTATAAAGAACTTAGAGACAGAGGTGGGGACAAAAAGCTGTACAAGTTAGCCAAGGTGAGAGAAAGGAAGTCCCGTGACCTAGACCAAGTGAAGTGCATCAAAAACGACGAAGGCAGAGTATTGATGGAAGAAGCACATATTATACGTAGATGGCAGACATGCTTCCATAAACTCCTTAATGAAGTGGGGGACAAGGATATTATGTTGGGTGATTTGGAGCACTCTGAGTGTCGTCGAGATTTTGGTTATTGTCCGCGTATTAAAATTGAGGACCTTGAGAGGGCTATGTGTAAGATGAGCAGGGGAAGAGCGACCTTGCCAGACGAAATACTACAACAACAACAACAACCTAGTAATAATCCCACAAGTTGGGTCTGGGGAGGGTAGAGTGTATGCAGAGCTTACCCCTACCCCTGAGGGTAGAGAGGCTGTTTCCGGGAGACCTTCGGCCAGACGAAATCCCGGTGGAATTTTGGAAGAGCGCGGGCAGGGCAAGCTTGGAATGGTTCACTGGGTTGTTTAATATTATTTTTAGGACGAAGAAGATGCCTGGAAAATTAGGTGGAGTATGATGATTTCGTTGTACAAGAACAAAGGTGATGTCCAAAATTGCAACAACTATAGGGGTATTCAGCTGCCAAGCCACACTTTGAAAGTTTGGGAGAGGGTGGTGGAAGCGAGAGTGAGGAGTAGTGTGTTTATTTACGAAAACCAGTTCGGATTCATGTCAGAGTGTTTGACTATGGAAGCCATTCACCTTGTAAGGAGGTTGGTGGAGTAGTAGTATAGAGAGAGAAAGACAGACTTGCATATGGTGTTCATTGATCTAGATTCTAGAGAAAGCATACGACGAGGTCATAGGGAGATTCTATGGAGTTGTTTGGAGGCTATAGGTGTTCTGTTGCTTATACTAGGGTGATTAAGGACATGTATGGTGGAGCTAAAACCCGGTGAAGACAACAGGGGATGGGACTCGGACCACTTTCCAGTTGTGATGGGGTTCCACTAGGGGTCAACTCTCAGCCCGTTTTTATTTTCCTTGACGATGGACACACTGATGCGCCACATTCAATGCGAGGTGCCATGGTGTATGTTATTTGTGGATGATATTATACTGATTGACGAGAAGCAAGATGGTGTTAATGCGAGACTGGAGGTTTGGAGCAGATCCCAGATTCTAAAGGTCTCAAGTTAAGTAGGACAAAGATAGAATATTTGGGTGCAAATTTAGTGATGTGACCAATGAAGCGGACGTGGACGTGAGATTTGATACACAAGTCATTCCCAAGAGAGATAGTTTCAAGTATCTTGGGTCTATTATCCAAGCAAATGGGGAGATTGACGAGGATGTTACACATCGTATTGGAGCGGAGCGGGTGAAATAGAGGCTCACATCTGGTGTTTTATGTGATAATAATGTGCCACCTAACCTTGAAGGTAAGTTCTATAGAGTGGTTGTTTGACTGGCTATGTTGTGTGGGGTAAAGTGTTGGCCTAGTCAAGAACTCCCATGTCCAGAAGATGAAAGTAGCAGAAATGAGGATGTTGAGAGATATTCAGGCCAGAGTGGAAGTGGCCCCGGTGGGGGACAAGTTGCGGGAAGCGAGACTTAGAGGGTTTGGGCATGTGAAGAGAAGCACAGATGCCCTAGTAAGGAGGTTTGAAAGGTTGACCTTGGTGGGTCTGCAAAGAGGTAGAGGTACGCGAAAGAAGTATTGAGGAGAGGTGATTAGGCAGGATATGACGTTGCTTCAGCTTACCGAGGATATGATCCTTGATAGGAAGGTGTGTAAGGTCGGGATTAAAGTAGAAGGCTAGTAGGTAGTTGATAGTATTTATTTCCCATACCAGTAGTATTAGTGTTAGTCTTGTATTCTATTATTGTTAGATTTCTATACATGTCGTTTCTTTCGCTTCGGTTTTTTATGATCTCCTTGTTGTTACTGCTTGTTGCTATTGCTTTTTTTTTTCATCTTTCCTTGAGCCGAGGGTTTATCGGAAACCACTTCTCTACCTTCCAAGTAGGGGTAATGTCTGCGTACTCACTATCCTCCCCGGACCCTATTTGTGGTATTATACTGGGTTTGTTGTTGTTATAAGCTTTAAGAGGACTTTCTGGATTTTCCGGTATCATTTAGTGTTTATCATTTACCTGCATTCTGTCATCTCAAATGAAGCTAGTGTGCGCAATAAAGTAGTAGTCAAGGATGATTGCTGAACTATTACCAATTATTACTACTATTATTACATATACATGTATCACTTCAGGATGTTAGGACGGAACTGGAGGTGACCATGAGAGTCAAGAAGAACAGTGCTTTAAAATTTTGGAAATTCATCTGCGGATGTTTAATTCCTCTTTTCTTTCTTTCTTCTTTTGGGCAATTAGCTGAATATCAAAAACTTGCAGTGCGAAGGAGATGGAATGGTTCATTCTTATGTTCATAACTGGTCACGTATGAATCCTTTATGCTTTGTGGCTGCTTCAATAATGGGATGTGGGCTCTTGATGCGATCTAAGGCTGTTCATTGATTTCACTATTTAAAAAATGAAAAAATGCACACACACACACAAACAAAGAGAAGAGGACTGTCTGCTGATCCTATCTGTATTCTTCTTTTACAGGTTGACGAGAATAATCGATTAAGAGCAGAACTTCAAAAGAAGATTCTGGAAGTTGAAAAATTTGTAAGTGATAATCAGATTGGTGGTTACTCTGTGGACCAAAGTTGTCTTATGCTTTACGTTATTTGGTTCCAGAATATGAAAAATTCTGAATATCATTATGCTGGCTATCTATTATCTTCTATTGCCCTTCCACTTGTAGCCTTCACTGCAATCCAAGTTTTTATTTGTTACCTGCAAATGCAAAGCATCACTTTTTGTGTCACTTCGACATTATGTATGTAGTGCCCTTTGCTAGACTTACACATGTTTAGTGACATTACCTATATTCCCCACTATATTTGATCATAGGGATCTAACAGCTGATAAAAGGTGGCAGCTATTGCTAGCTGCTCCGTACTTCTACTTAAAGGTTGAAATTCATAAAGCAGACCATCTAGCTTCATTTTTAAGTTGAATAATTCAACTCTGAAATTGCAGAAGGTAGTATGATTATATAGTCAGGGTATACATGGTTGTACAACATTTCGTAGACTATAAATTTGAGCTTGTGACCTCAACTTGCTTGAGATTGAGGATTGGTAATAGTTGTTGCAGATGTCAATAGTAGTTAGCACGTCGTCTATGCCGATTAGGTAAATATGATCATTTTACCTCTTAAGGAATTGTTAAATGTAACTTCCATAGACAGAGAACATGCTGCTAGATCATTAATCTATTTGTTTAAGGTTGTAACTTGCACTGCACCCAAGGGTGTGACTAATGGTCAATGAAATGGGTTGAGAACCATGAGGTCTCAGGTAAAATCCCACCAGAGGCAAAAAAATAAAAATAATAGGTGTTTTCTTCCCATCTGTCCAAACCTTGATGGACTGAGTTATACATGTGTTGGTGGGTGGTAACAGGTACCTCGTGGAATTAGTCGAGGTGCGCGCAAGCTAACTCATACACCACGGTTTAATTAGAAAGTAGCATTCATTAAAATAATTTGGTTAACTTGGATAATTATCACACAAAATTTTTTTGGTGATGGAAGGAAAGGATCCACTGAAGCAAAAAAAATAAACAAATAAAAAAAAGAACTGTAGTATAATTCCAAAGAACTGAAGCAGATAGTGGTTAAGACTAAATTTATGTATTGTTTTTGTATTTTGGTGTTTTATTCTGCTTTTATATTGCTTTTTGGTATTGTCCCTTCTTGCCTATATTTTCATTAATGTGGTACTTATACTATCCCGAGCCGAGGGTCTATTGGAAACAACCTCTCTATCCTCGCAAGGTAGGGGTAAGGTCTGCGTACACATTACCCTCCCCAGACCCCACGGTGTGGGATAATACTGGGTATGTTGTTGTTGTTGTTGTTTTTGTATTTTGGTGGATGGATCATGGAAGTGCTTTGATTTACAAATGAGGAGATTGGGGGAGGAAGACAATACAAAATGCAAATATAGTTGCAATACATAGCCTGGATTAAGTTAAAGAGGATAAGTTAACAGAAATCTCAGCTATAGCTCTTGACTAGTGTTTGCCGAAGATTGCTTCTGTCAGTGATTATCCCATGTGATAACAAATTTATAACTAGGAGATCAGACAACTTTTTACTTGCAAAGGATACTCGATTTTCTGCTTCTGGTTCTTGTGACGATCACATCTATACAGAAGATGAAGGAAGTCAACAGTAGTTTCGATCTGCCAGTTTGGAAAAGTGTGGGGAAGTTAATGTCTCAATAATTGTTTACCATTATCAAAAAGGGGCAGCCCGGTGCAGTAAGATCCCACTATGCAGGAAGGCCAAACCACATTGGGCCTATTGATAGAAGTGCACCCCTAATTTTCAGTGCAGTCACGACAAGTAGTGACAAGTAGTACAGGCACCACAGACCCTCCCTTTTTTTCAATTACAAGGATTATGCATTTGACTGGGAGGTCACGGGTTCAAGCCGTGGAAACAGCCTCTTGCAGGAACGCAGGGTAAGGTTGCATATAATAGACCCTTGTAGTCCGGCCATTCCTCGGACCCGCGCATAGCAGGAACTTAATGCACCGGGCTGCCCTTTACAAGGATTACGAATTTGATTTTCTTATACAAGTACGATAATCTCTTTTAAACATATGAGCACAAAAGTCATTTTGTATTTCCGACATTATTGGTAATAAGTTTTGTTGTTACTGCTTGTTACTACTGCTTTCTTTTCATCTTTCCTTGAGCCGATGGTCTATCAAAAACAACTTCTCTACATTCAAGGTAATAAGTCTGCTTTGTTGTTGTTGTAGTGGTAATAAGTTTGTCTCATTCTCATTGAGTAAGTCTGCACATAGGCTTCAGCTAGTGGGTGTTACAAGAACATGGCTATTGCAAATGACGTAGATACCATGATTGACTTCTTGAGCTCATTATTCAATTCGTAATGTAGCCTCTTCTTGTACTTATTTTGCAGCGCTCTCTTGTTGTTGAAGTTAATATACTTAAACTTTAACAATTAGAAAAAAGGAAAAGAAAATGAAATAAAAGGCAGCAAACAGGAAAGAGAAATTAACTGTAAAAGAAAAGGAGGATGGCTGAATAGCTTTTAGCTTCATTTTCAATGAATTAAAATGTGTAATTACTGTTTGTTATAATCGTGTTGCACCTTCTGAGATTGTAGGTTTAGGTGTACACTAACTCTAGAAGAAAATGAATACAGTGAAATTTCATATGCTTGTATTTAACTAGCTTTGGAGTTCTCTGTCAGACAACCTTTTTTTAAAAGCATTGCTCCAAATAGTAATGAAAGAGAACTTTCCTATTCTTTTGGGTCAAAAAAGTCCTGTCATTACTGTTTAGAGCAATGTTTCAACTCGGTACGTCTTATGTACTGCCAACATATAGGTAATTATGTGTACAATATTATCCCTTGGACTGACATGATCATCAAGGAGTTAAATGGATTAGTTTTATGTGGCAGTTCTAATTTTTTGTCAAAGTTTTCTATTTTCATTCACGGTTCTGTTTGGTAGATATTTAACCAAATCCGTTGTCGTGCTGATGTTCTACTTTTAAGACTTTGCTTCAGATAAGGTTCTGTGACTCCTTGCCTCTTCTTATTAAATTATACAATATGTGCAACTGGCACCTCTTTGAAATAGTGTAATGTGAACATAGTCAATAGTCTTATGATAAGAAATTTTAATTCCATTCATGTATCCAAGGTTCTTATAATATTTGGGGTCTCCACATTTTGCAGAGATCAGGAGAACTGAAAGGTCAAACTCCTTGTTCTGTTGGTCAGTTGGATCACCTTAATGAGGCTGATGGAGCTCATCCATCAACTCTGGGTTTTGGAAGTCAAATTCCTGAACTTACATACATGGACAGTATAGGACATAATTTGTCTAGTAATATGGTTCTTGCAAAAGATCCCAGGCAAAATGATTTGAACTTGACTCTTAAAAATCAGGGAGAAAGCGACACCGAATATAGCAAGGTGAATGGTACATTGAGAGCACTACCTGGTGGTCAGACAACAACTGATAATTCTGGCGTCTCTCATTTCTCATCACCTTCGGCATCATTTTCACCAAACAGGTATTAGCATAAGTACAATTCATCATCTAAACATCAGTTTACCAGGCGCAGACATTACAAGTTAGGTGTTACTGCTGCTGTATTAATAATGTTTGAGAAAAGAGATAAAGGCAGCAGTTTTCTTCATAGATACAAACAGAAATAGTGACATTAGACTGGCTTAGGTAGGTATCAAATAGAAGCAGAATATGACAGACGGCTCAATTTATCTGGACAAGGTCTGATACCAGTGGCCGAAGTTAGCAGCAGTATGAAGCAGGTCCCTCTCTGTCGCTATGATGAAATTTCGTCTACTAACAATTCATACTTTCCGCCCCCTAATTATAAGTAATGTATCATTCTAGGATCTTGTTTTGAAGATCCAGGAGCATGAACAGGAGATTATACAATTGAGGAAACATCTTTCTGAATATTCCATCAAGGTAAATAAGAGCCTGTGTTTTTAGTATACCATTTTCGTTTTGTTATTTCGTTGTCAAAGTAAATGGTTTATGTTTTTGGTAGGAAGCACAAATTCGCAACGAGAAATATGTTCTGGAAAAGCGAATTGCTTATATGCGCATGGTGGGCCAGAGTGACTGTCATACTTACCAATTCCACTCATTTTCTGTTTGTTAATCCATCTTCTTACTAGTCCTTGAACTTACCGAGGTTATTTGCTCTTAATATGTGTATAGGCCTTCGATCAGCAGCAACAAGATCTTGTTGATGCTGCATCTAAAGCGATATCGTACAGACAAGACATAATTGAGGAAAACATACGTCTTACATATGCACTGCAGGTATGCCTGTACATTCACAGGGACTCATATTTTGCTTTGTTATGTTTATCTATTAGTGTGTTAATGATCTTATAATCCTTATGGAGAAGAATATGATCAGTTCTTTTCATTAGTGCCCTGTAATCCATTCGGTTTTGCTTGTTGCTGCTTGGTGAGTAGGGGTTGAAGATGTTGCTTTTAAGAATTACTTGTGATCTCATATTTTGTTGAATGTTCCTTCCTTGTTCTTCTATTTGGATCTCTCCCAGATACCCACCCATGTAGCTATCTACCTCTCTCTCTAGTTTTTATTTTAGTCATACTATGTTATCTGTTATCAACTTATGTTCTTTGGCTTTGATACTTTATACTGATGAGATTTAGCTAGCGTTTGGACATAGATTTGATTGAAACTTGAAAAAAGAGTTTTTGAAGTTGTGTTGAAGAATAATTTTTGAAAGTTGAAGCTGTGTTTGGACATGCATTTTATTTGAAGAAAAGTTGAAGTTTTGTGAGTGGAAGACAAATTTTCACCCAAAAACTGCCCTAAACCAGTTTTTTGAGAACTTATTAATTTTTGAAATTTTCCCCAAAACATGATCATATTTCATAATGAAATAATGTTTTCAATTTTTTTTTTTTGAAAAACTAAGGCAAAATCTATGGCCAAACGGGAGTTTAATTTCTGAAGATTAGCCCAATTGTTCCTTGGGAAGGTGCCCTCCGCCTCCCCTCTGAGCTTTGATGTAGTGATAGGATTCGAACCCTGCTGAAAACAAAAGCCTGGTATTTAGGTGGATAAGGGTAAAGAGACATGCCCATTATCCACCAAATTTTGATCCGTGCGCCACTGTCCCTCGGGGATTTCTCAATTACAAAAAAAATTTCTTGTGAAGGTGCATGCACAGGTTTTTGAATATTAAGCAACTTGGTTGAGTCACGACTAGAATTTTTGTTACTTTGTGTTTGATAATCAGGGCCAGCCTGCTGTACCAAGTTACATGTCAGTAAAGCTGTTGAGCTGCTATCTGATTCTTTTTATTGCAAATATTTTCCCATTCCATGATTCTATTTTGAGGTTCATGTATTTCTTCAGGCTGCACAGCAAGAAAGATCAACATTTGTATCATCTTTGCTGCCGCTTCTTGCAGAGTATTCTCTTCAGCCACCCGTAACTGATGCCCAATCAATTGTCAGTAATGTCAAGGTAAACGTGACTCTCTCTTTCTCTCTCTCTCTCTATATATATATATATATGTGTGTGTGTGTGTGTGTGTGTGTGTGTATACACATGTCTTTCTGTCTCTGTGTGTGCGCGCGCCTGTGGATTGGATGAGAAAGACACTTATTAAAGGAACCAATGCTATGCCACTCCCTGTACAGATGCACAAGGAAAGGAAATTAATATATGCAAGGCACCAAGGTGTTGCATCATACAGATGCTATATGTGAAAGCAAATACTACATTAGCAGTGTAAACTGATTAACTCTTCCACATATCAGCAAAAGTTGTATGATTAGTTGGAATCACTGCTTAGTGTCACGTTACAACAAGTACGCCTCAATCTGTAGTTAGCTGGGAGCAGCTAGATATGAATCTTCTATATCTATTCCACTCTAGTTGGTTCTATTTCATTCCAATACCCAATGATTTATCTTTATGGACAAATTAAGAGTTATCTAAAAGTAGAGAGTGTAACATTTTATAGTTTTAATCCTCTAGGACTCATCTTTGTGACTCCTACGGCAGCATACATGCGCTATAAGTTGTCAGCTTTCGTACTCCTTACATAAAACAGGGACCACTAAATAGTCTCATTTCATGGGTCAAACATATTATCCTATCTGCTGTATCAAGTTTTATCTTTCTTCGTTTTCTTTTTCAGTAAGTCTTGTCATCATATTATCTTCATTTCCATTAACTGGCCTGAAGTTAAGAGAAGTGAAAGTTCAAGATGTAATTTGTTGACAAAGTAAGAGGGGAGAAAAAGTATAATGTTCAACATTGATTCTGATGATTGTATCAATTGTAATAAAAAAAGACCATGATTTCCAAAACAGTGTTGATGGTATGTATGGTAGAGTTTATTTAACTTAACCATTTCTAAATACCAATATAATTTTTCTAGCTCAATAAGCAAAATATTGCAGGTTCTGTTTAGACATTTACAAGAGAAGCTCTTTGTTACTGAGGTATGTTTGCTGGAAGTACCCATTCTGTTCATTCTGACCACTGGTCCCATGGATATAAACTTCCCTTCCCTAATTGAACATTTAAAAGATATATAGATACTCTTTTTGTAGGCAAAGTTAAAGGAGTCTCAGTACCAAATGACACCTTGGCGATCAGATATAAACCTGTCAAATTTTGCTCAATCACCTCCTCATTCTGCTGAGGCAAGTCTAATATTCAGTGACATAATATGTTGAAGGAATTCTTTTTCCAATGTACGATGGATTTTTTACTTCCCATGTTCTTTTACAGATTAAAGAAGGCCTTGAACTAGTACCACAACAAGCATATTCCAGTGAAAAGGCTCCTCTTTCTTCAGATCCCCAGACTACAACAGCATGGGATCCCTTGAGAAATTCTCAGACTGGTTTAAACCGTGATGCTGCAATAAATCTGGAGACTGATGACTTGGGGGGGTATTCACCTCTTACAAGCAGGTGAGCCTGGTCAAATGGAGACTGCTACTGTGAACTGAATGTACAATTCCAACCATCTGCTTTTGGTGGTGGGTTCTGTTATCATTGACTTCTCCAAATGCTTGGTCATTTTTGGATGAAATTGATGGCAAAATCTTGTTCCCATCTTTCCACAAATAAATTGTATTTCCCGACCACACTTTCTGGCTCTTTGGAAAATGATGAAGTATGTGCCATAAATAGATTACATAAAAATAAATTTAATACCCAGGAAAAGATTAGGAAAGCTCAAATTCTCCAAAATTTTGTTTAGGATAAACAATAGTTATATGTTTCCTTATCAAGGGAATGATTCTTCTTCTTCTTCTTCTCTTTTATTTTTTTTTTTATTTTTTTGTGTAAAGGCATAGTGCTTGTATAGGTTGATTCTGTCTTTATTTGCTTTTGTTGGTTAATTGAGGTTGCTGGTTCTAGTAGACTCCCTTTATCCCAATTTAGATGAATTTGTTTGACTTTCTTGACGATTAAAAGAGCGTTTGAGTGGATTAGTCGTATTCAGTGTTTTTAAAATTTAAAAGCATCGATTCGTTGCTTAAAACGATGAAGCGATTTGAAGTGAGGGGTTATTGTTTCATGGGTCTTCGTAATGAGCTTCAGAGAAGTCTGTGTGCGCTTCAAACAAGGACGCGCAAAATGATCCCAACTGGAAGTCATCAGTTCTTTTCGCTTTTAAGGAGTTGGATTAATATCAGCATCGTTATGTATTGGATGTTGAATTCATTCCCATTTTAGCTTATGATTTACAAGGCATATGCTTGTAAAGTTATATTTAAATATCTATTTTTCCTCTCTCTTGGGGTATGACTCTAGCTTTACTTTTAACTCTTTCACTTGTTACAGTGTCTGACTGTCTGGAAGAATTTGTTAACATCATTTAACCATATGACAGTCTTGCCAATCAAGCTATATGGAATCGTCTCAGCCTTTGTCTGCAGTTGCATGACCAATATAAGATTGTCGACATAGTTGTGAACTGGAAAGTTGCAGGCAAATCACAACTGTTAAGAGCATCATGCAACACTTGATCACCTGTGGACTAATTTTTGGGCAGTAGCAGTTGTAAACATAAATTCACAGTCTAGATTAGGACTCCATCTACTCCTCTTTTCTCCCTCATATGTGGTATTTTGGTTTCTGTTGATTTGCTGATCTCTCTGGTTAAGCATTTGTTTCCATGAGTATAAACTTGGTCTTTTTGCAAGAGGATGTTCATACTTTCTACAGTTTGTGCTTGTATCATGGTTCACCTTTTGATTGTTTTTCTGATATTTGCTTATTTTCGTACAATTTGCTTGATTTCACTTTGTTTATTGATTTTGTTCCATTGTGGGTAACTTTGTTATTTCGGTCTTTAATATGCCTGATTCTACAGGAATACTACGACCGAAGTCATACCATCCCAACTTGCAGGTAATATGCATTTGAAGTCTAAAAGTGAAGAAACACCCAGTAAGCAAGTCACTTTTAGCGATCTCATCAGCAGCAATGAGATGGATGATTCTGAGATGGGGAGACATCAAAACGATATAGAGCCTAATTGGGCCCATAAAAGCTCACCATATACATCACAGCTAGATGATCCAAGCTCATCGTATCCTTACCTGCCACCAGTTCTCGAGGAACCTTCATCCTCCTATTCGGAAGGTGAACTTTTAGTGCCTTTGATTGCTGTTGTTCTTATTTTTTTAAACTTGCAGAGAGACCTGAGAAATGTAATTTAAATTTTAAACAGAAGCCCATTGAACTGAACCAAAATGGAACGTTCTGGATAAGAAGGTTAAAGTGAAATGTTTTTGTTTTTTGATGGGTAAGAAGGTTAAAGTGAAATGTGAAATCAAATAAGCTTCACTGCAGGGTTTATTATACTGTCCACGTCTTACCAGGATTAGGAAAACAATTGGAGAACTGTGTTGTTCCCCAATTTAGGTTTTTGTTAAAATAGGTCAGACCTGATGCTGGCTACTGTGCCCTAAACTTGAGCATTGTTCAGCCGCAGATGAAGAGGCACTACCTGCAATAGAGGGTCTCCAAATTTCTGGTGAAGCTTATCCTGGACAGGCACTCCAAGCTTGTGGCTACTCTATTAATGGAACAACCAGCTGCAATTTTGAGGTGTTTCGTGCTTCAGCCTTTCTAGCTTCCTTCCTCAATCATTTCCTTTCCTGCTGTTTCTGATTTTCGATTCCACTTTTCTCACTTGATCTTTCATGCTGTATATTATTAGCCTTCTGATTAAACTTGCTTTTTCTTCTTTTTTGTTATTCTTGAACTTGCAGTGGGTTCGTCATTTGGAGGATGGATCTTTCAACTATATAGAGGGTATGTCACCAAACAATTCACATATCCGTTTTGCTTTATTTCTCCTTTGAGGCCACGTGGCACTGTTGTGACAGGGGCAAAGCAACCGACATACCTTGTCACCGCTGATGACGTTGATACGTACCTTGCCATTGAAGTCCAGCCATTGGACAACCGGAAGCGGAAGGTACTGCTTCTACCCTTTGCTGTCTCTTTGTATCAAACCTCCATGCTTCCCTCCTAAGTTGCTCGGACTCTTTACTTTCGAAGCCACGCCCATTTCGAACACGATGTGGATGTGTGATTCGTACCGGATATAGTCAACCGATTTTGGTTACTTTTACCAAATTCGACGGAGAAATCCGAGACAAGAAATCAAAACAAAAGCTAAAGTGAAATTGATTAAAATGGAATTCGTTGTATCTAGAAATTTCTATTTCAATCCTTTTCCTTTAATCTCCTTCTCAGATCTCCTGGTCAATATTTTCTCTTTCTTGGATCACATTGTAAGTTTTCACGCAATGTCTCATAATCTATACATTTTTATAACTCTATTTTTAGATATTTGAATTGTTTTTAGCCGAATTTCCGCACCCGCACCCGTAGCTGGATCCGTACCTCCGAATCTTAAGATTTAGATCTTGAAGGATCCAACCTCTAGATTTCCACCCATATCGGACACTCACACAGAGTCCGAGCAACTTAGCTCCCTTAGCTCCCCCCCGAAGAAAACACTCCACCCATCCTAATTTGTTTGCACAATTACTATTTGTGAAATCAGGCAATTTTCTCTTTGAGTAAAAATTTGCAGATATTTTAATTTTTTTTAATAGAACTGTGTTTTTAGTAAGTTTTACGTAGTTTCTGAGTATCAACTTTATTTTAAAGAAATTAAGAAATCAGTGTCTGAATACTTGCTGAAAATTAGATACCTTTTGTAGTAGGTTTGAGTAAAGGAAAAAAGGAAGAAAACGGTGGAAAATTTTGATTTGACTTCATCTTTCTTGTTTCTTTTGATTTGTTTCCAGATGCTTGGTCTACCCTTCTCGTTTTCCATTGGGATAATACATAAATAAACCCTGGTACTTGACCTGAATTTCCAGATGTGTACCTGAACTTCGCGGGGGTCCTATGACCCCCCTATATTTGTTCGAAGTGGTAGAAGTACCACCTTTTGAGCCCATGTGGCACGTACAATGTTTTGCATGCACTCCTAGCATGTGAGAATGAAAAAATCTGCCCCAAATCTATTTTCGTTTTCCATTTGTACTTTTTTTTTAATTTTTTTTTTATTTTTTATCTTTTACTTTCCTTTTTCTTTTCTTTTTCTTTTTCTTTCTTTTTTCTTTTCATTTTTCTCTTTCTTCTTCTTCTTCTTCTTCTTCATAAAAACACACTGTCACCTGCTCGGCCCCAGTTCTACCCAAAACCAGCAAACAAAACAATCTAGCAAAATGAACTGACAGTTCTAAGAATAATTAAACTAAAAATTATTCTACTAGGCTCCTCATTCCATACAAAATTATAAGACTCGAAAGTTCACCGAAAGTCATTCATGATTGCGAAAGTTCAAAGATCACAAGAAATGTCATCGCTGGAGCCCCAACTTTCCAGTTCTTGTTTCTTAAAGTCGCTTCCATATTTCCTTTATTAAAGTGGAGTATTGTTTTGGCAATGGATGTTGAACTTGAACGACAGATATACACCATTAAACCACAAAAAGTTGCAGAAAAAGGGGGGTTGGGGGTTGGTGTTGAACTTCTAACTTTCCACAAGAATTTTGGCTTCTACCAGCTGTTCCAGGATCTCCCCGGTCATTTCTATTTTGTATTTCCTCTCTTCTTTATCTTCTCTGTTTATGTGGTTTTGTCACTGGAAATAGACAACTTCAACTTGGCCAACAAAGTTTTCGACCATCTGAATCTCTTCTGGGTCAAATCTTGGCAAATTGGTGCAACTGATATCAATTAGTTTTTTGGTGGGTCTTTGTGTGATCGTTTTTGAGGGAGGAAGAGGAAGGTGGTGTGATGACGTAAAAAAATGTGAGCGTTGGATATGAAGCGACAGAGCTAACATGGATAAACGGGAAGCTCCTGTTGATCTCAGCTTGATACCACCAGAATTGCTCAGATCAACTACACCAACACACTTTTTTTTGGATAAGCTAAAATTTTTTTTTCTAAGGAAATGGCAAAAAGACAAGAAGCAAGGGAAAAGTGGCTATTCCTCAAGTGTCCGTATACAAGAAGTATAGCATAAAATAGAAAACCTTACAAAAAGACATGGTTTTCTACCAATGGCAATCATCTAGGCAAATAGAAACCTCATGGGTTAACCAAAAGGAAGCAAGGGAAAAGTGGCTATTCCTCAGGTGTACAAAGTCTTTCTCTACTCCTTCAAAAGCTCTCTGTTCCTCTCTCTCCATACGTTCCACGTAAGTGCTAGAGGAACGACATCCCATGCCTCTGCACCTTCTCTTCCGTGACTTCGTCTTCTAAATGCCCAGCTAAACATAGTTTCTTTCATAGTGCCCTCCATCACCCACTCAGATTGAACCGTCTCAGAATTTCTCCGCCATAAACAAGACGCTATTCCCAATGTAAAAGTAGGTGATCCACATCTTCTCCTGAGTCTTTACACATGAAGTACCAATTAATGCATGTAATCTTCCTCTTCCTCAAATTCTCTGCCATCAGTATCACCCCCTTGTAGCTAGCCAAGTGAAAAGATACGCCTTTCTCGGTACCCCTGGGATCATATCGAAATATGTGGAAAAGCAGACTCCTCTCTAATCAGAAGCTTCTCATAATAGGACTTAATGGATAAAACACCATTTACCCCCGTTCCCCATCTCCATGCATCATGACTATCCGCAGTAATTGTTTATCGGTGAAACAATTCGACCTGCAGGCTTCTGGCAGAGATAAGGAAAAAAGAAGAAAGGAAAAAGAAAAGGAAAGAGGAAAAGAAAAAGAGGTAAATTTTTGCTGGTGGTTTTAAAAATAGCGTTAAAAAATTTGGTGCGTGAGATACCCAAGTTTCCTTAATATTGGTGCTGGTCAGAAAAGGTGGTATTTTATACTACTTCGGGCAAAGAGGGGTTGGGGGTGGGGGAATAGTCGTAGGACCTCCACAAAGTTCAGGTGTACAACTCGAAATTTGGGACAATTTTACAAGTTTTATTTTGTGTGTTATCCCTTTTTCATTTATTGATCTTCCGCTTCAACTATGTTTTCCGGATAGCAAAACAATGAACCTTTAACTTTACCTATAAAGTTTTGAGAAAAGGTTGTATTCCATCTCATCTTAATTTTTTTTGATAAGGTAAATTGTATTAATCAAAAGGGTGAGAACTCCCGTATACAAAAAGTATACCAAAAAGTAGAGAATTTACATCAGAACATGATTCTCTACAAAAGACGCCCAATCTTCTATACAAATAGGGGCTATATGAGTGCAACAAAAAGCGATCAAAGATAAAAGAGTATTCTTGAGATGTGAAAAAGGAGACTCAATCCCCTCAAAAGCTCTCCTATTTCTCTCCCCCCAAACTATCCACATGAGAGCTAACGGGGCGAACTTCCACGCCTTTTGCTTTCTTCTTTTACGGAAACCGGCCCAACTATATAGCATTTCCTTTACAGTGCTTGGCATCACCCATTGAACACCAAAAAGGTTCAGGATCGCCCTCCACAAAGCCGGGGACACAGGGCAATGCAACATAAGATGATCAACTTCTTCCCCTGAGCTTTTACACATATAGCACCAACTAACAAGNCAATAACCTCATAATCAGGCTGTCGGCCTCACTCAGTCATCAATCTCTCCAGTCTCTCTCTCCCGGGCTCACAATGTCATGAAACTAGCCCAAAAATGATGATATGATGTATCAATAAATAACAACAGAGACTGAGATATGATATGCATATGAATGCGTATGACTGAGTATATAAAGCAATGAAAGAAAATAACTCAACAACAGAAATGACCTTAGTGGGTCCCAACGGGATAAGCATGTAGCCTAGACATGGTGTCTAACATAGATCACAGCTCAATAGCTCAAGTACGTAGACATTTCATGGTTAGAGGTAAGATCAGGTAACTACATAGTACCACAGAAATGACGAAGTCACAATTCACATGGTGCACGCCCACTAGCCCATTACCTAACATGTGCGTCACCTCAACACCAATCACATAGCACGTAATTCGGGTTTTCATACCCTCAGCACTAAGTTTAGAAGAGTTACTTACCTCGAAACAAGCCAATTCCAATACCGAGCAAGCCAAGCGATGCTCCAAAAATGCCATCACGCGCGTAGTGACTTCCGAATGGCTTAAACTACCCAAAATCAACTCAAATACATCAAATAAATCTGAAGGAATTAATTCCAAATGATAAAGATCGAATCCTTAATCAAAACTCAAAAATCAGCCAAAAAAATCACACCCCGGGCTCGTGCCTCGGAAACCCGATAAAAACTCACAAAAATCCGACAACCCATCAATAGAGTCAACCATACAGTTTCACNTACTTTGGTAAAAGGACTTTACGGTGAACAAACCATCGCCACGCAAACCCATCTCCAAGAATCACAAGATGGATGGGGCCTGCCTTGCCCATATAGCAATGTCAATAAATCTTGGAGCTCCACAATCTCCCAATCTTGCATGTTCCTTCTAAATGAGAGGTCCCATACTACCCCCCCTACATGCTCCTTACGAATCTGTTGGACCATCAATTCCTTCTGGTTTGAAACTCTAAAGACGTGGGGAAGGAGACCCTCAGAGTATCCTCTCCACACCACCTATGATTCCAAAAGCTGATTCTCCTTCCATCTCCCACCCTGTAAGAGATGTTGCCACTGAAGGATTCCCAATTCTTCATGATGCTCTTCCACATGCCACACCCGAAAGGTGTTGTGATTGCCTTGGTCCTCCAACCCCCTCCCGTGGAATCGTACTTTTCTACTATGACCTCCCTCCATAGAGCATGCTCTTCTACCCCGAATCTCTACAGCCATTTCCCCAACAAAGCTCTGTTGAATACCCTAAGATCTTTTACTCCAAGTCCACCCCACTTCTTTGGGGAAGTGACTGTCTGCCAATTCACTAGATGATACTTTCTAGTTCCATCCGCTGCATCCCAAAGAAAATTCCTTTGAAGCCGCTCCAGTTTTTCTGTGATGCTCACAGGAGCTTGCAACTGGGACAAGTAATAGGTGGGCATACTCGATAAAGTGCTTTTGATGAGCACTTCCTTTCCGCCTTTTGACAAGTATTATAATTTTTATGTTGATGGAATAAGGTGCTCTGTCCGTTTTAATTTATGTTACGTAGTTTGACTCAACACGGAGTTTAAGAAAAAAAATAAAGAAAACTTTTGAAACTTGTGGTCTTAAAAACTTTAAGGGTAAAAGCTTTATGGGGTCGTAACATTTATGTGGCTGGAAGAGCTCTCATTAAGGGTAAAATGAGAATTTTTAAAGTTAAATTTTTTCCAAATGTAGAAATGCGTCATTCTTTTTGGAACTGACTAATAAAGAAAGTGTTTCACATAAATTGAAACTGAGGGAGTATCAATTTACAGTTGAATATTGAAGTGTTAAGTTGTTGCTAGAGGAAAAGGAATTTTCTTGTGCTAATTTAAAATGCTCAGGGATAATTAGCATAACGAGAGTTGTCAGAGCTCAAAATTTCATTATTCATTGAAGTCTTCTATGTTATTCAACATTCCAAAATGGAAGTGTCTGTCACCTGAAATTGCTTTTCGTTGAGATGGCATACTTGCTACTGTTTTTCTTTTTTCAGAAAAGAAATTTTTTTCCAAGCCTTTTGTCAACATAATATATTTCGTCTATGGCCGTTTTGTAGTTTTTTTTTCTAATTATTTATTTTTTTAATTTTTGTTTGGGGGGGGGGGGGGGGGACCTTTTGGTGTAGGGTGAAACTGCTACCATTCGTATCCAACTTTATAGTTTCTAAACATCCTTTGGTGCTTATTTTAGTATAAAATAATAAAAAAAGGAAGACTGCAAAAAGAATGTGGTTTTATTTATTTATAAAAACTGTTTTTTTTCTAATGAAAAAAGCTGTTCTTTTTATTAGGTTTATCTTGAAGGGAAATACTGCAATGACTTTTCTTCTTTTGATTATCAGGGTGAACTCGTGAAGGTCTTTGCAAATGAGCATAGGAAGATCACTTGTGGTACTTTAAGTCGATTCTCATCCAATATTTGAAACTTTTGACTGTTTTGCAAATTACAGAACTCGATATTCTTTCCATCAATACTAGGAGACAAATATGCAAACCCTTTAGAATTGTTGCTATCATTCTCCATGTTGGAGCAAACATGTTACTTCACGAAAGGTGGATTTCGAGTTTGAAAGCTCTCGATATTGAATAGATGTTTAAGGATGCAAAACCTTGAATTAGTGCTTAATCTATCAGTAGTTTCTTATTCTTTTTCTGTTTTTGTTCTTTGGTAATGTTTCATCATACATCTCAGAAGGAGAAAGATAGGCTTTTCTACTTATTGAAATGTGTGGCCATTTCATCTAAAAGTTAAGTTGTTGGAGAGCATATTTTATTGACGTAATTACATCTTCAACACGCCCCCTCATGTGTGGGTCTGCTTCTTTTTCATGAGCCAAGCACGCTAAAACTCCTTTTGATAATGGACGGCAGTTAGACTTGACCTCTGCTTGCTTTGGTACCACATTGAAGTGTATGGCCATCTCATATAAAAGTTTGAACTGTTAGAGAGTGCACATTTTATTTACTTAATTATGTCTTCAACACTTTTTAACAAGATGGTGGGAGGATTGTTTTTGAAATTTGTTATGTGGTTAACATGGTTTCAGTCAGTATTTGCTTGATCTGTTTTTTCATACTGATTATAGAGAAAGGTGAAAAGAACCCTATTTAGAGTATGCTTGATCTTGTTTATCGCAAGTAATGCTACAACCTTGGGGTAGTACTGGGAGACTTGTCTAGATCTGTCCATCATTCTGCGAGCTGTTTCTTTCTCTTTCCCTTTATTTTATTATCTGGGAATAGGTTTGGTTTCTAAGGACTAAGCTCTGTGGAGGGAAAATCCACTGACCTTCTGTCAGTCTCTAACTTATCTCAATTCATATATTCAGATAGCAATATATGACACTTCTTCGGGGTGATTAAAATCTTTTCCTTGGACTTTTACCTACATCTTTAGTGATGCCTGTGTGGACTGTCACGATTTCATGAGCCAAATACGTTTCCTGTCTTATATTTGCATGAATCACAGTAAATACAGGAAAGCTAAATTCTGGGGATGCTTGGTCTTAATTTTGTTTAGTTGCTCCACATACTTTGAAGTCTTTTTGTATGAACTCTCTGTTTTCCATGTTTGCAGATCCTGTAATGCATAGTTGCATAGAGAAAACCCTTTATAGTGGTCATGCTTCGTATAGAGTTTCATTATCGGTAAGGAAATTTGTGAGTTTCTAGGTGTGGATAATATCATGATGGCCTTATTCAGTTTTGCTCTATCTTTTTTGGTTGTACAGACACGATATCTTGATATATGGGAGCCTGCTACCTTGGCCATCAAGAGAGATGGTTACAGCATCAAGGGTAATGGGCCTGGTGGTGTTCTAGTCAGTGAGAAGTTTTCTCAATCTACAATTGTATGTCTTCTTGTCTTTTGCCTCTTTATATTCATGAACAGTTTGTGACGTATCTGTATACCTTTAATTATGTATACATGAACAGTTTGTGACGTATCTGTACACCTCTCCAACTCCATGTTTGTGAGCCCTCTGGTGAGTGGCGTTGAAGATGCGCATGAGTCTTTTGAATGCTGAGGATATTCATTGAAGTATCCATTCTAATTGTGCCTGCTATCGTTCACTAGTTTAATCTTCAAGCAAAAGGTAGCCTTCCACGATTTGATGCTTGTCACCCCCAGGAGATGGAATATTCCCTACTGTTTGACCCAGGACTTACTTTTCCTCACAGCTTAAGGAGTATTATCCGCTACATAAATAAATTTAGGGAACTTGTCCCTAAATCACGAGAGTCGCTCTTCCGTAGGATATCTCCCTTATTTATTTACTGAGGTAGACCATGGGCTCGATCAAACATTTTCTTGGTTGAAACTTCTACCTTTTAAAAAAAAGAACTTTTTCTTGGTTGAGCATAGATTAGTTCTGTTGAACTTTGGATGTCTAGAGCTGTAAAGGAGGCCCACTAGTAACCGAAATGGATCTAGGTCATACTTCCAGTTCTTCTCTTAGTTGCATTGAACAACTTCCATCTGTTGGGACCCACAGAATTTAGCAACAATATCCCATCCAAGTTAGACAGGAATTTAAGTAGCTTCAAGGATGAAAGTTTGTCATATCCACAGACCATATTCGGAAAGCATATTCCTCAGTGAGTTGTACCTTTGGCATCAGTCAGGAAAAAGGCAATGTAATAGATATGTTTGTTGAACTCTGTACTTGACACTTATATTTCCATTTACCTTTGTATTCTTTTATTGGTGGAAGGCAGTGCTGGATAATGTACTGTGCTTTGTCACAGAAGTCTGAGTTTGTGGGTAATTTTTAAGAATAGTCCCTTCTGTGCTTAGATCTAAATCTCAGTCTAGACTCTAGGGTGGTGATCAAAAGGCTAAAAATGATTTTTGTGCGTGTGCATGTGTGTGTGTGTGTGTGTGTATATATATATAGCATTGTACCCAAATTCTATTTCCATTAATTGCTTTTGTCACTCTACCACTCTAGGGTTATTTTCGTACTTTTGGCCTAAAGAATCTCTTTCTCTCCTTTAGTTTCTCCCCTTTTAGTTTCCATCTTGATCTGTCGTGAACAAAAAATTCTGGCGAAATTAACTTTAAGAATAGCAATCACACCAGTTTCAGGCTTGGGGTGCCATTACAGGTTGAAAACTTAAACTGATGGTGGCTTGAATGGAGATCTGAAAACCGATAATGGTTGTTGGAATTGCTATTACGATAGAAAAAAGGGAGAGTATACCCGGAAAAAGAAGTGGCACAGTGAAACAAGAAAGGACAACGAGTTTGCCAGAGAAAGATATTTGACAAGAAAGGAATTCCGGAGTCCGAAAATGAACTGACGGAATTGCAAATCTGATATTGCATATCTTTCAATTTGTTTTTGAAGCGCTTGGCTATACTCATGACTGAAGGAAAATAAAAAAATGGAAGCACAACAAAAGATGATGGAAGAAAGAAACGGAGAAGAGAGATATCGGAGGAAAAAAAAAATGGATGGCGCAATTCAATATATGAAATTGACTGGAGAAATTTGCTGGGAAATGGGAAAGAAAAGGAGAGGATAGAGACCAAATGATTCGATTAATTTGGTATTAAATTTTTCTGGCGGAAAGACAAAAATATCCTCATTAATAAAGAATAGCAATGTGCTTTAAAGGGCAATTAATGGAAACGAAATCTGGGTACAATGCTAACATGCTACCTTCATGTGTATGTTAGCAAAACCAATATACACTTTATATATATATATATATATATATGTATACACACACACATTTATTTCTGTGTGTAGTTAAAGTTGGCTGGAATGTGCTGAAAGCCAGTAACTTCAGCATGTTTAAGGGTTTTTCACATTTGACTGAACTTTACAGGGAACAACTTTGACAAAATAATTTGTTTCTCCAACCTTCTCAACTTCTTAGTGACTGCATACATTTTTTCTGTTGATTAGTCTTAGTAAAGTTGTACATTTACTAGGTCTCAAGTTCGAAACCCACTGGGTGCAAATAATTTCTGAGGGCCATCGGACTGGGTAAAACCTGAATTAACCGTGGTGTACTTGCGGGAAACTCCTTGCCGAGGGCCTGTGCACCCCCGGGATTAGTCGGGGCTCTTAGAGACTTGGACACCCGGTGCAAATCAAAAAAAAAAAAAAAAATTGTACATTTTGTGGAGGATAATAAGCTAAACTTTTGGGGTCTTCATAAAGGTAAATGATGATAAACTGCTTTCCTACGGAAGTGCTAAGCTGGCAACTCCAACTCCATCAAAAGCTTAAGAAGCATTGGTAATAGATGATAGCTCTTTTTGCCGATGTAAAGACACTAGAAAGAGACACATAAGCTTCTTGTAATTGATGGGTACTTAGTTGTATAATGTTTCTCTCAGGTCTTCTAGTTTACAAATAATAGTTTTAGTTCATATTGCATAACTTCTATTGTTTCCTAAATCTCCACTCCGTTCTCACCATTTTATGCTGTTGTCTTCTAGGTTTCTATTCCATATGGAAATCCTACGGAATTTTCAATCTTCGATAGTCGGGGAGTTGAGCATCTTGTGAAGGCTGAGAATGATCAAGGCGACATTAGCTGGTAAATCACAACCCACCCCCACCCCACCCTACAAAAAAAAGGGAAAAGAAGAAGAAATACTGAAACAAAGAAAGAAAAAGGAAAAAAACAACTGTTATGTTCGTTTTTCATAGTTATGGACAAACCAGGTTTTAAAAAGAGTTGTTCAAGTGGTTCTAACATCTGCTTCTCGAAGTCTTTCAACCTAGATGAAGCAACACACAGCAGATTCTTGACTTCCTTACTTACCTGTTATCATTTTTATGTTCTGCTTCTGTTGGGAAGCATTCATGTCACATCAATATGTCATTTTGACATTTTACCTTTTCTATATTTCACTTTCTTCTTCTGCGTGTGTCCATTTTACTTTTTCCAACAAATTATCATAAAATTCATTTTCTCTATTTAAGTGACATGTGGCTCTATTTTGCAGTTCAAGGGATACAATTGTCCTAACCATGAGACTGTTTATTATAAGGGTATGACTTCTACAATCTGAAAGTTATTTCTATAATATGATGTGAATGATACATGTCTTCTATTAGGTTCCAAAGAAATTTACGGGCTATTTGAGTGTTACCACCATAATGCATTTGTGGTCTAGATCTGTCATGTGCTCTTTTTCTTTTACCCCTATTCTGAGTCATGGTTCAGATCATGTAATTTTTATTTCTTTGCTTTAGCAAGAAACTCGGGTAGCATCTGATAGGTGCATTACCACATGTGAATTTGTATGTCTTGGTAAAACTGTGAATTTCTCTGCACGAAGAGCTCTGTCAACTAGCACCAAAAGCTCTTCCGGCGAGATCTGTACTGTACCTTTTTCTTTTATTTCTTTGCTTTAGCATGAAACTCAGCTAGCATCTGATATAAGATTCCCACACATGAATTTGTACGTTTTGGTTGACAATTATTCACTTTTATGTTACTTTGGTAGTGATTATGATATGACTTGAGCTTAAAAAAAGAAGTGAGGATCCATAGGCATAGTTGTTGATTGACAAAAGCCGCAAAACTGTGTATCTTTGCACAAAAGGCTCTCTTTTCATTAATCAAATTCCGACACAGGATTTTTTCTTTTTGATGATGAAGTAAAAAGATATCATTAAAGAGCATCAGGCAGATGCTAAGCAAAAGAGTTACGGAATAGAGTTAGCTCCAGTACATGAGACCTACACAGGATCTTTATTGATCAACCATCGGCGTATCTGGTGTTATATCTTTCATGTGTTAGATGCTTCTTTATAATCTAGTGTTATTTTTTGTGGAGCGGCACGTCTATATTCTTCACATATTTGACATTGGAACCTGTTGCTGCATCTTTTAGTACCTACTAGTTAATTTACTGCGGCATCATTATGATTTCTTCCTAGGCAAAAAACACTGGGTGTTTTCTTCCCATTTGTCTAAGCCTTGGTGGGCAAAGTTACCTGGTAGTTGTGCTGGTGGGAGGTGGTAGGTAGCCGGTGGAATAGTTGGAGCTCCAATTATTTGTGACATTCTCCTTTGGATCTCATTGTTGAACTTGTTGCAGGCTGGGGAGAAGAAAAAAGGAAGGAGGAGAGGGTTGTTCTTCAACAAGTGAAAAGACCTTTGTCAACCTACCGAAAACCATATCTATTAGTGATACTTGTATTCTTCTGTGAGTAGTTAAGCTTCTAGATTTGCATTTCTTTTGTTATTTTTTTGGGTTAATCGTCCTCTTATATTTTGTAAGTTCAGGTTATCATTGGCCCCATCCCCGGCCTATTATTTTTCTTTTTATTTTTATCTTACAAGAAAAGAAAGAGAAAAGACTTATCCGAATAAGATAAAAAGAGATGAAAAATGCATCATTACAAAGGGAGAATCCAGGGGAAAAAAGAATTGGAGGAAAAACATTTTCTTGAAGTAATTTGAATATTCATGTAAATCTCGAAAAATTTACAAAATTTTAATGATGTCAGAAATGATTGTGGTTAATAACTTTTGGTGGCCTTTAAACTAAATGAGAAATTCAGTCTAGGCGTTTGAATTGTTTTTCCATTCAGCAAGTAAAATGGATCGTATGTCAAGTAAGATACCATCATTTGGATGAGATGCTATGTACTTAAATTTCTCTCTCAGATCATTTCGGGAGAGTATCTTCTTTATATGCCTAGCTCCTGTGGACGTAATCTTATTTTCCTTTTAGATCTATATAATTAATTGACCCTTTTTTCTTAAGCTAGTCAATTAAGCCATACATAAATTAAAAGGAAGCTTGAGATGAATATCGTCGGAAGTTAAATTAAAGTGGATTAAATGAAGTCCACAGGGTTGATGCCTTTTTAGTCAAGCTTTTAAGATCCAGTATATTCTCAGTATAAATGCTTTTTGGCGAAATGAAGTATCAAAAAAGATGAATCATTACTTTTTTACAATAGCAACTTTGCATTTTGCTCAATCATTTTATGGTACTCTGTTTCAATTTAGATGATACACTTTCCTTATTAGTGTGTTTTAGAAAGAATGACACATTTTTATAATTGGAAATAATTCAACTTTAAACTCTTCATTTTACTTTTAATGAGAAGTTTTTATAACTACACAAATGTTATGGTCCAATAAAACTTTGAAGATCACAAGTTCTAAGTCTTTTTTTCTTCTTAAACTCCGTACCGAGTCAAGCTGCCTCATCAAAATTAAGATGGGGAAGTATATTTTAGTAGTGTCTTTCTTGATATTATTGAAATAATATTTGTTTGTTCAATCTTTCTAAAAAGGTGATTTGAGTGTCAAATTATGAAAAAAGACATGTAAAGATTTATTGTACAAGTGATATTATCAATTGGGTAAATATGTTGAAATACGTATTCTGTTCAAGTTATTAACATTCAATTAGAATGTAAGAATTGAAATATAGAGAAAGCGGGTTTATGAGATTTCGTTACAGATGTGTTACTTCCAATGAATGCTATCGAGGATAATTTGTTAAATATAAATTTTTTGCAAGGTTAATTTTGTCTGAGAAAAGTATAAAATTGACTTCTACATTTGCTTAAGAGGATAAATTGCTTTTTTGAACTTTTTTTCCACATAAAATAATATATATATATATATATATATATATATATATATATATATATATATATATATATATANGTGCTGGTTTATTGAAAACACAAGTTATTCTTCACACTTTTTCTTGTCTAAGAATCTTTGATTTCAGGTCAAAATGTCTAACTCAGTGAATGCACATGAAAACAACGATCTTGAGGACCATGGAGAGAATGGTGTAGTTGTTCCAGCTGCCGGTGTACCACTGCGAAACCCTGAGGATGCACCAGAACCAATCCCCGTGGATGTGGGCTCACGCAACGCCCAACACGTCGATATAAACTCCCACACTAACGGGAGTATACGCCAAGAAAACCAACAAGAAGCTCAAAGAACCCCAGCTCGGGAGGAACGAGAGGTTAGCCTTCACGTCATTTTTGAGATGTAGCACCGGAAACGACTCCTCGAGCCGAACAGGTACCGGAAAGATCGAGCAACAACGGGTCAGCAGCCGACCCCGCCATTATGAAGATGCTCGAGGACCTCACAAAGAGAATTGAATCGGGCGAAAAGAAGATAGAAGCTAATGACAAAAAGGTGGAGACCTACAATTCAAGGGTCGATCAGATCCCAGGCGCACCCCCGATTCTGAAGGGTGTAGATTCAAAGAAATTCGTACAAAAGCCATTCCCATCGAGTGCTGCTCCAAAGCCCATCCCAAAGAAATTCAAAATGCTCGATCTCCCGAAGTACAACGGAACCTCGGACCCCAACGAGCACATCACTGCTTACACTTATGCTGTAAAGGGAAATGACCTGAAGGACGACGAGATTGAATCCGTCCTGTTAAAAAAATTCGGAGAAATACTTTCAAAAGGGGCCATGATGTGGTATCACAACCTATCCCCGAATTTGATAGACTCGTTTTCCATGCTGGCAGATTCTTTTATAAAGGCACATGCCGGTGCCATCAAGGTTGCTACAAGGAAATCCGACGTTTTCAAAATCAAACAGAGAGAAAACGAGATGGTACGGGAGTTTGTATCTCGCTTTCAAATGGAGCGAATGGAACTGCCAACAGTCTCCGATGACTGGGCAGTGCAGGCCTTCACCTAAGGCTGTATTGTGGTCCGGGCGCAGCCCGGGACCGGCCCCAGCCCGGGACCGGCCCAGGCCCGCGGGCCCACATAGGCTTTGGGCTAAACGGGCTGGCCCGTATGGTCAGGGCCCAAGCGGTCCTAGGAGCCCACTGGGCCGGTCCAGCATGGAGAGACCGCGAGCCCGGGACCGTTTAGCCCGGGACCGGCTGGCGGGCCTGGGCCGGTTTAATCGGGCCTAACGGGCCCAACGACTATTTTTCAAATTTTTTTTTTTTAAAAAAGGCCAACGGTTAGAAGTTTAAAAACTAGCCGTTGGCCTGCCAATTTAGCCGTTTGGCTTTTTAAAAAATAGCCATTTGGCCCCCAAACTTTTTTTAATTACACTTTTTTCCTTTTCTCAACTTAAATACCCCCTCATTCTTTCATTTTTACTCACAAAATCATCAATCTCTCTCTAATTTTCTTCTATAATTGCTTACTTTATTATTGCAATTTGTGAAAAATTGTGAAGTTGGTGAATTGAAGTATTCAAGTCTTCAACGATATACAATTTTCAAGAAGTTGTTCGTCAATTCGGTAAACTCGTTCCAACTCTTAAGTTTTAATATTATAGTTTTGTTTGTTTTAGTTTGTATAATTATAATTAATATGGCCTTTTCTTTGAAAAAAATGTTTGGTGGTAAGAGAAAATCTAAAATTGGTGAATCTAGTCGCCAAGCTACTACCCCTCCCCCGGCTCCCCGACCCAGACCTGTTACCCGTCCTCCTCCACCTATTATTCTTGATAGTGATAACCCTTGTTTTCAATTTAGCGACAGTCAATTTTGCCATGATGTTGCACCAGGTCAACAATTAAATGATGAATATATGAATGCTCTTTATCCTAATGAAACTATTGATGAAAATGATGAGGAAAATGATGATTTAGATGAAACACAACCAGATTTAGATGATACACCTACTAGTCCTGTTGTTAACCCACCTGATAATAATCCAAATGATACCCCGCCTGACCCTCTTGTAATAACCCCTACTTTTAATAGACAACATTCTAAACGCCCCGAAACATCTCTTGTTTGGCACTTTTTTACTCAACTAAGAGAACAAAATAAGGCTAAGTGTAAAACTTGTGGGTCTTTGATGGCTCATAAATATGCTGGAGACTGTAGCGGTACGGGTAGTTTTACTAGACACATAAAGACACACCCTAGAGATAAAGCTAGATATCTTCAAATGAAAGCGCAGCTAGAGGGGAGAAGTGTAGGTACTGAGGTTAACCCTAGTACCGGGTCAAATTTAGTTCAATCGGGAATTAACACTGTTACAGGTGGCATTTTATATTACGATCCAAATAAAGATCGTTAGCAAAAATGGTTACTGTTATGTGCTTACCCTATAGTTTTCCTTCTAACCCTCACTTTGTGCATTATATTAGAAAAGTTTTTAATCCTATTTATAAAGGATGGCCTCGCGCAATCGTAAAGAGCGATATTTATAAATATAAACATGAATATGAACAATATTTGTGGTATTTATTTACTCATATAGATTGTCGCATTGCTATTACCACTGATATTGGTAGAAGTGGTAATGACTGTGATTATCTTACTGTAACCACTCATTGGATTGATGAGGAATGGAAAATGCAAAAACGCATTATTGCTTATAGAATAATTAATTCACGTCATACAGGTAAGTTTATTGCTAACACAGTTGCAGATATTTGTAGATATTTTTGCATTAGAGATAAAATAATGTCAATTTCTATGGATAATGCTTCTAGTAACACTAATGCTATAGGCTTGCTTACAACAACACTAAATCCTGCATAGTCACGATCCGGATTTCCCACCCTCGGGAGTCGTGATGGCGCCTACTAGTCGGAGCTAGGCAAGCCAATTATCAATTACATCTTTTAGCGAACATCGTCAATATTAGAAATAATGAAGCATTTAATAAAATAAGCGGAAGTCTCAAATATATTTAACTGAAAGAAATGCGGAAGTTTAACAAAATCCTCTACCCAAGACTGGTGTCACAATACTCACGAACGTCTAGAGAATACTAAATAAAAGGTTCGAATGAAACATAAAACTATCTGCTTCGGTACAAATGATAACAAACTGAATAAAATAGAAAGGGACTCCGGGCCTGCGGACGTCAGCAAGGCTACCTCGAATGTCCCTGGACTGAAGTCAGCTCCCGAATCCTCTAATGCTGTCCAAAAGCTACTGCTCCGGCGCTGTGATCTGTGCAAAAAGATGCACAGAGTGTAGCATCAGCACAACCGACCCCATGTGCTGGTAAGTGCCTAGCCTAACCTCGGCGAAATAGTGACAAGGCTAGACCAGACTACCAGATAAACCTGTGCAGTTACGAAATATATTGCAGAAAAATAAACAGGAAATAAGCAGTTTATAAGGGAGGGGGAGCATGCTGTGGGGAGGCAACAGTTATAAACAAGGAGTCTAAATTCTAAGGTTATAACAGCCAAAAGAAACTTAAATCCGGAATAAACACACTTAAGCTATAACTTGTTGCGGCGCGCAACCCGATCCTCAATCATCACTGTTGCGGCGTGCAACCCGATCCATAATCATCACTGTTGCGGCGTGCAACCCGATCCATAATCATCACTGTTGCGGCGTGCAACCCGATCCATAATCATCACTGTTGCGGCGTGCAACCCGATCCATATCATGTAGTATTGTTGCGGCGCGCAACCCGATCCATATATTTATATTATTAATTCTCACCCAGGCAACAGTCGAAAATAAGGGGCGAGGGAGTAAACAATTAGTGTAAGAAATCCCGGCAAGGGAACACAATAACACACTAAATCCCGGCAAGGGAGAAAAGTCAATAACTCAATATCCCGGCAAGGGAGAAAATCATCATA